ATGCTAATTAGACTGGACGTCCTTCCGGACAAGGCCATGGTGGCGGGGCCAAGGCAGAGGCAGTTAGGGGGGATCAGGGCGGCAGGGGAGAGCAGTTAGGGTGATCAGGCTGGCAGGGGAGAGCAGTTAAGGGGGATCAGGCCAGAAGGGGGGCAGTTGGGGGCGATCAGGCCAGCAGGCAGAGTGGTTAGGGGCGATCAGGCCAGCAGGCAGGTGAGTGGTTAGGAGCCAGCTGTCCCAGATTGCGAGAGAGTGCAGGCCAGGCTGAGGGACACCCCCCCTCCATGCACGAATTTCGTGCATCAGACCACTAGTACATATATATGATCTCTACAGAACTGTATTTATACATTTTTCTGTTATATTTTGATTGCCATCATTCTATGCAATGTGTTGGTATCATAAATACGGCTCACTCATAGCACAGATTTAATTCCAAGCAAACTTCTAACCATAAACTGCAGATAGTTAAGTGTTCTGAGGAGAGAATGGGATGTACTGTGGAGACAAAAAAATAAGCTGTTAAAGATGTGGAATACAAACTCAAAGATCTCAGAGTTGCAAAAAACTTTAGAAGCCATCAATTCTTACTCTCTAAAACAGACTAAAGAGACTTTCTCTTATAGCCCAGATGGAGTAACAGGGACCAGATTTACTCTCACACTTGAAATAACCAAAAACAAACAAACAAAAAACCCCGTCAAATATGAAACAATGGTTTCAAGATACTGAATACTGGTAATAAAAGAGAGTGATCCCTGGAGAAACAAGAAACAATTGCCCAACTTACTGCCTTAGTTCCAGGCCATAGCACAGGTAGCAGAACCTAAGCAGAGCCCAACAGACTCCTTAAGCTGATGAGATGGAGCTGACAGTCTGGGCAGACCAAGGCAACTAGGTTCAAAGGATACAATCTGAGAGGTGAGATCTGCACAGAGAGAGAACTCCAGAGATCTGAAGAGGACAGTCTTTGGGAATTCAGCAGAGCACTGATAAGTGCAGGCATGTGAAAAAATTGATGCTAAGGAAAGAACCACACAAAAAGTTAGAGGACACAGAACTCAGCACTCATATAGGGCCAGGAATAGTGCACGTTCCCACCAGACAGACTGGAAAACCTCCCAAATTCATGGGGAAATGAAATGGGAAGAGTATTCAAAAGGGTCTTGTCTCTAGACTAAACATGGTTCTGGTCCTGCCTAACAAATCTTTTTTAAAAAATCATTTTGAATTTTCAATTACAATTGATTCACATTATATTAGTTTTAGGTGTACACCCCAGTGATTAAAAATAACTTACTAAATGATCATCCTGATAAATCTCACACGATACACAGTTATTAGAATATTACCGACTATGCTGTACTTTACATCCCCATGACTATTCCATAACAACCAATTTGTACTTCTTAATCCCTTCACCTTTTTTACCCATCTCCCAACCCCCCTCCTATCTGGCATCCATCAAAAAGTTCTCTGTATCTATGAGTTTGTTTCAGTTCTGCTTGTTATTTATTTTGGTTCTTAGATTCAATTGTTGATAGATAGATATGTATTTATTGCTGTTTTATTGTTCATATTTTTTCTTTTTCTTTGTAAAGAAGACCCTTTAACATTTCATATAATACTGGTTTGATGGTGATGAACTCATTTAGCTTTTTCTTGTCTGGGAAGCTCTTATCTGTCCTTTCAATCTAAGTGATGGCTTTGCATTATAGGACCTTGCTTTTCATCATTTTGAGTATTTCTTGTCACTCCCTTTGGCCTGCAAAGTTTCTGTTGATAAATCAGCTGACTGTCTTATGGGAACTAGCTTGTAGGTAACTAACTGCTTTTTTCTTGCTGCTTTTTTAAAATTCTCTCTTTGTGTTTAACCTTTACCATTTTAATTATGACGTGTCTTGATGTTGGCCTCTTTTGGTTCATCTTGTTTGGGACTCTGTGCTTCCTGAACTTGTATGTCTATTTTCTTCACCAAGTTAGGGAAGTTTCCTGTCATTTTTTCAAATATGTTTTTAATTTCTTGCTCTCTCTTCCCCTTCTGGCACCGCCACGATGCAAATACAGTATGTCCTCAGGCTACGTCGGAGATCTGCTCCTACCGTGCTACGTGCTACGTAACGCGATTTTCGCCGTAAGTAGGAACCCACCTACATAAGCACCTATGTCACTCACATGGAGCACATGCACAGCAGTAATGAAGTGAAACAGTAAAAAAAAATTTAAAAGAAAGATAACAATTCCTGACCTTTACTTGTGGTAAATAAATAATAAAAAACATAAAGCACATATGTACATACGTCGAAATGACGGAACTTTTTTCTTTTTATAAATATTGTAAATGAGAGATGGCAACGTAACCACGAAACAACATATGTCGAGTCTGTCATAACCCGAGGACTGCCTTCATTGGTTGAAGTTGTCCCAGAGACTCCTTACACTATCTTCATTTATTTGGATTCTTTTTTCTTTTTGCTGTTCTGATTGGGTGTATTTTGCTTCCTTATATTCCCAATCGCTGATTTGATTCTCAGCTTTATCTACTCTACTGTTTTTTTTTATTTTTTTAATATTTTTTATTGATTTCAGAGAGGAAGGGAGAGGGAGAGAGAGACAGAAACAACAATAATGAGAGAATCATTGATCGGCTGCGTCCTGCATGCCCCCTACTGGGGATCGAGCCCACAACCTGGGCATGTGCCCTTGGCCGAAATCGAACCTGGGACCCTTCAGTCCGCAGGCCAACGCTCTATCCACTGAGCCAAACCAGCTAGGGCTGTTTTGTTTTTTAGATTCCACAAATAAGTGAAATCATATGGTATTTGTCTTTCTCTGTTTGACATATTTCACTTGGCATAATACTCTCTAGATCTATCCACATTGTCACAAATGGTAAGGTTTCATTCATTTAATGGCCGAGTAATATTCCATTCTATATATGTACCGCTTTTTCTTTACCTGGTCATCTACTGATGAACACTTAGGTTTGGGGTCTGGGTGAAAAAGGCAAAAGGATTAAGAAGTACAAAATGGCAGTTGTAAAATAATCATGGGGATATAAAGTATAGCATAAAGAAAATAGTCAATAATATTGTAACAGCTATGTAGGGTGCCAGGTGGGTACTATACTTATCAGGGGGAACACTTCATAAGTTATATAAATGTCTAATCACTATGCTGTACCCCTGAAATTAATATAATGCTGAATTTCAAGAGTAATTTTTTAATATAAAGTATGAAAAGACAAGCCACAGACCTGTAGAAAATATGTGCAAAACATTTATTTCATAAAGGACTTTTATTCCAAATATATTGTAAAAACTATTAAAATACAATTATAACAAAACAAACACAACTCAATTTAAAATTGACAAAAGATTTGAACAAAAACTTCAAATAAGTACAGAAAAAAAATGTTCAACATTATTAGTCATTAGGAAAATGCAAATTTAAACCACAATGAGATACCACTACTCAAAATGGCTAATTTTAGAATGGCTAAAATTAAAGACTGATGTGTTAGTGACAATGTGGAGGAACTAGAAGTTTTTCATAAACTGCTGGCAGGAATGTAAGATGTTTTCACAGTTTCTTAACAAGTTAAACATAAACCTCCCATATAACCAAGTCACTCCATTCCTAGATATTTATGCAAGATAAATGAAAGCATATGTCCACATAGTCGTACATAAATGTTCAGAGCAGCTTTATCACTGTTCAGCAATAAAAAGGAATAAACTACTGATACATGCTTTGACATAGGTGAAACTCAATAATTACTCTGAGTGATAGAAGCTAGACAACAAACGAGTACATACTGTACGAATCCAATTATATAAAATTCTAAAAAATGTAAGGTAACATACAGTGAAAGAAAGGAGATTGAGTCAGTGGTTGCCTGGAATGGGGGGAGAGTCAGGGAGTGGGGATGTGGTAGGGCGTAAGAGGTGGTATCAAGAAGGAATTACAAAAGGGCACAAAGAAACTTTTGGTAGTGATTGATAATGTCCATCATTTTTGATTTGGTGATGATTTCACAGATGCATACATATATTCAAATTATCAAATTGCATGCTTTAAATATGTGTAGAGCCCTGGCCGGTTTAACTGGGTGGTCAGAGGACTGAAAGGTCTCGGGCTTGATTCCTGGTCAAGGGTTTGATCCTGGCCCGGCCCCCGGGTTGGGACATGTGTGGGAGGCAACCAATTGATGTGTATCTCTCTGATTCTATAATTTTATGGTCCTTCTAATACTTATTTCATACATAATTTCCAGGATACATATACTGCAGTGTACCAAATTAACTTCTGATATAAGAGTATCCAACGGCCTTCTGTAAAATATAAATAATCCATTTGAATCTACTTATTTTTAAAATTCTATTCTGTATAATCTTCCTAAACTTCCTGTATAGAATAATTATTATTAAAGTTTTAAACAACTGAATTTATAGTTTTGAGTTTACTTTTTACACAACAAAAACAAAGTCACAAAATTATTTGGAAAAGATGAACACTGTCAGAAAACAAAAACAAAACAAACTAAAACATTATGAGGCATAAATATTTGTGAAGGAGGGAATTACATTTTATTTCTTGAGTAATTTATGAATATTAAAAATGATACATAGGTAATTTAACATGTCAATGAATCAATTGTAAGTATTTAAAAATAAAAGTATGATCATCATAAGACAGCACCTCATTCAACAAATATTTTGAGGACTTATTGTGTGTCAGGCACTAACTGGAAATGTCATTTATGATAAGCAAAATTCCTGTATATACAGAGGTCCAGTTTCTGTCCTCTAACCAGGGGTTAGCAAACATTTTAGGTAGAGTCAGACAGTAAACATCATAATCAGTCAGCTCCATCTTGTAGCACAAAAGCAGCCATAGATGATGTGTAAATGAATGAGCATAGCTATGGTCCAATGAACACTGAAACTTGTACTTCATATAATTTTCATGTCACAAAGTATTCTTCCTCTTTTTCTTTCAAGCACTTAAAATGTAAAAACCACTCTTAGGTAACAGGTCAGATTAAAATAAGTGGCCAGCTAGGTTTGGCAACCCGTGCTCTAAAGTTTTACATTTTTTACACTTCCCCCAATTTTTTATATTTTCCCCAAATAAATACATGTGATTAAAATGTTACACATGATATAAGGCATACAATGAAACCTCTCCCTTCTATCTCAGAGGCACAGTTCTCCTCTTTCCAGTTTTTGTGTATCCTTCCAAATCTATTGCCACGATTACACATTTCAGTATAAATAGCCTTATATATACATGACTCTCCACACGTATTATTTCATCTATAGGATGAATCCCTGGAGATGGAACTGCTGAGTTCTATTTCCTTAAAGAGTTTATTCTAACATGTAATTAGTCAGTATCTATAGCTTCTCCCTGCTCAGGATAAGTCTTCCAAAATGCCTTTACCTATTTCCCACTTCACAACCAACTTTAAAAAAACCAGGTTGAATGTTTGTTCCAAATTATAGACTTATTATACCTACTCTGTTTTATGAATCCTTCCTTAGTATTGCATATTTCTTAGCTATGGTTGTCAATACCTTAGAGTTGAGAAATGTTTTACTGTTTTCTTTGATCACTATTTCTTGAACTCCATCTCTGTTTCTCTTAGATTATTTTTTATTTGATGTAAACATATTGGGGCATTCCTGGGGTCTGGCTGAAAATGACTTATTTTGCTTCTGCTCTGAATGACAGTTTAGAGATAAGATTCAGAGTTCAAAATATGTCCGATGAGCACATTTTAGTTAGATAACTGCTCCACTGTCATCTAACAGTCCATGTCCAGATTAAAAGTCTAATTGCAAGTCTGATTTCCATCCCTTTATAGGTAACCATATGCTTCTCTTTGGAAGCTTATGAGATTGTACATTTATCCATGAAGTTCATAAATTTCATCAGAATGTATCAGTCTTTTCTATTCATAAACTCAAATACTTCTACTCAGAGAAATTTCCTTGTTTCTTCCTTTGGACAGTTGGACAATATTTTGGTTCCATTCTACTATTATAAAGTAGGAATGGGAAATCTGGCATTTATGGTGAGTTGCAAGGGGAAGAGGTTGGGGAAAAGAAACTGTTAAGACAGCCAGAAACCCTCAATTTGTGCCGCATCTTTCCAAAAGCTTTCTGAAAAGGTATACTTCCCCCACTGCACAGATGAAGAAATGGAGACCAGGGAGGGAAGAGTTGATTTATATTCGCCAGTACTTTGTCTCCTAACTGATAGTGTCTTTCTGTTTGGCTTCAGGTGTCCAAGACTCTGCCTGGATACTCCTACTCTCATGATCTCTATTTTCTTTGTGGTTATTTCTCCTCTTCCAATTTCTTTTACCTCCTGGAACTCTTATGAGATGTAAAATGGCTCTTCTAGATCTCTTTTCGATGTTATGGCTATTTTCCATGTTTTAATATTCAAGAACTGATTGATTGCTTACTTTCAGGGCAGCTTGTATGCGTTCAAATGGCATAATATCCTTCTAAATCTAGCGCACGAATATTTCTTTTAAAGTTTTTCTGTTTCTTACATGGACTCCGTTGTTTCAGGTCTAGTTCTTATGTTTGTTCAGCCTGGGGCATCTCTTCCATGTTACCGATTTCCCACAAATGCTTAGTGATTTTTGTTGTTGATTCCCATGATAAATGTATCAATGCATCTTAGGACCCTAGAAATCACTGTGATCCTGTAGTAAATTTACATTTGTAACTAACTCTATAATTCAATTATATATTCTACCCATACTTGTGTAGGATGACAATAACAGTGTAATAATTCTTTGGTGTGCAATCCCATGATTCTTCAATCCATTTTTAGTCATATCTTTCTGGTGTTTCATTTCCCCTAACAACCACTGACTTGAGTAACACAGTTCTTACCTAAGTGTTATACAACAAGCCTCAGGGACAGATCACCAGCAGCTCTAACAGACTTCTCCAACAGACAGTTAGAGCAGCAGTAACAGTCTGGGAGAAGATCACCCCAGGTATGCACCCCAAGGATTAAATAAAGTAATAATGTGATAATGAGTCACTTAAGTTTTGAAATCATAATAGTGATGCCTTTTACCAATCTTTGACATTATAGAAGTTAAAATAAGACATTCTACCTTTTTAAAAAGGCTTCATGTTAAAGGTAATTTTCTGCCTATCTGATGATTCAGACATTTCACAGCTGACAGAAGCACATACAGATGTTCACCAAGACGTTTACAAGAATGTCCACAGCAGTCCTCAAAACACATAATATACAAAAATTGGAAACACAAATATAACATCAACACAAGAGTAATCATATAATCACACAAACAAGTACTGCACAGCAAAAAAGAAAAAAAATGGACCAATGTTACATGAACCAATGTTACATGAACCTCACCATAATGTGCTGGGCATACTGTACAATTCCATTAATATGAAGTCCAAAGTAGACAAAACTAATACATGAAGACAGAAATCCAAAGGCTGATTAGGGGGCAAGGGTATGATTGACCTGGAAGAAGCAGAGGGAAATTCCTGGGGTGACAGAAATGTTCTATATACAAATGCAGGGGTCACTTCATCAAGCTGGTGGTGACCCAAGTTCACAAACCCATAAAAATTCACTGAGCTGTACAATGAAGATTTATGCGCTTGATGACTTCACTCGTGTCTTACACCTCAATAATAATAAAAAAAAGGTAAGAAAAAAATGTAATTTCCAAACTGGTTGGAACTAAAACTGTGCTTCTGTGTGTCAACATCCTCTGAGCCATACATGCTGGAAACCCAGCATCGCTTTTCACGCTGTTTTAGTCACAGGGTCATTTTAAACGAACAGCATCAAGATGATAACACAAAGCGAGCGTGACCTTCTCAGCCGTCAAACACCGGTCCCCCCTCCATCTCCGAACGCTCCGCTACAACACGCAGAGGCCGCGCTCACCGCCCAGGAGCGAGACCC